TTTTATTTTTTTACTCCAAGGAATGCATTTCTCATGGATTGCTGTGATGGTGTATATATTATTCTAAAATATTCATGGCCTTATGAAGGTACCAGGGGATGAGAATGAGAAAATTTGTGGCTAGATGGCTCTGTGCTTGTAGCAATCCAAGGAAGAAGCTTTGTTCAGTCCTAAATTATACTTCTAAGCTCAAAGATGTAGTGAGTGCTCAATAATAAGAAGACTAACTAACATGCTTAGTTTTTAAGGGTCAGTTTTTGTTGTCATTTTTCACAGCTGATGAGAGCAGATAGATTTACCAAGAGTTTGTTGTTGTACCAACAAACCTGACATTCTTCATGTTGTGAGCATTTTAATGATAGTATACCATGTAGCAGCATTTCTTATGCATATATGTTTAATTATCATTCCAGATCTAAAAAAAAAAAGTAGCAAGATAAGGAAGTGGGGGAAGAGGGTAAAAGGCAAAAAGAAGGCTGAGATAGAATGTAAAGTGTTACTAGGGCTGGCAAGCCATAGCGGGCCTCACAGTGTCTTCAGGACAGTAGGCCCCATGGCAGAGTTTCCAAAGGTTATAAGGTTGTCCCCCAGAGCATACTATAGGTGTTCCAGGGGTTCAGAGGGTGTAGTAACAGATCGATAAAAGACAATCCCCATTTAAGGAATACATAGAAGTCTTCCTGGCTACTTCTGAATAGTAGGGAGCATGGTGTTTGATAGCCGCTGATTTGGTCTCTAATTACAAAGGATACTCAGGATGGGACATGATAGTAGTCTTCCTTCTGTACCCAAGGGCATGTGGCTGACTATTATAGTGAATACAGTGCCACATATTACTTAAGGAGCACCACATATTCTCCAATATTCATAGTAGACGTGATATTCTTCAGTGGTAGCAGAAAGCAAAATTTGCCATTTTTTACTTCCCCAGTAAGAAATAAGAATATACTATACATTTTGGTATGTGATCTAGTGTATAAGTTGAGCTTGATTTTTAAACTAAAAATGTAATGCTATTTAATGACTGTACTTACCACATGAGACAGCTTCCCACAGACCTCTAATTCAAACTGATTTCTTCCCAGCAGAGGTTAACAAACTGGAAGTGAGGAAAATGACGTTCTCTATCTAAAAAGAGAACTCAGCAATCTGATAGGCGATGTAGGAAAATGAACACAGTTCTTATCTTGAAAACTTTACAATCTAGTTGGAAAGATAAGATCTACATATAAAACAACAAAGACATTTTTCCAAGACAATGTAATTGCAATGTAATAACCACGCAGTTCAGTCTGTTTGGAGAAGTACAGAATGGTTCAGAAAAAAAGAAAAATTATTACCAGGCTGAATTGTTCACAGAATATTATAAGGCTGCTTGGTGGATAGAACACCAAGCCTGGAGTTAAGAAAACCTGGATTCAAATCCAGCCTCAGACACTTACTAGCTGTGTGATATTGGGCAAGTCACCTAACCTGTGTTTACCTGTTTCCTTGTCTGTAAAATAGGGATAATAATAGTATCTACCTTCCAGGAACAATTGAGAAGATACTGTGAGGATAATTGTGAGAATCAAATGAGATAATAACTATAAAGCAGCACAATGCCTGGCACACAGCACGCACTATATAAATGTTAGCTATTATTATTATTATTAACTGCAAGTCTCAAGGGCAAAATCTGATATAAAATAGAGCTAGGGTATAGGAGTATTGCTATAGGTGAGGTTCACTTTTTTTTTTAAACCATGTGAGTTACTTTTGGTATAGACACTCCCCCCATAGCTGCAAATGGGTAGCTTCCCTAATAACTCATAATCTTACAGAGTTGTCTAGGAGCACTGAGTGACTTGCCCAGAAAAAGGCTCCTACTATATATTAGAAACAAGACTTGATTCCGTGTCTTCTGAGTCCAAAGCCAGTCCTCACTAGCTACTCTGCCACATTGCTGACAGTTGGAAAAATATACAATATAATTGTTTCATTAAGGGCTGATTCATTTTTTGATCAAATAGGAGGGAATAAATAAGAGGACAGTAAAGTTTAATGTGAGACAATGCATCATGGATTCAAAGTAGAATCTATTCCCAGTGAATGAATGCTTCTCAAAGGGAAATATAATGTCTATTTCAACATGTTCCTCAATACTTATTTCCCAATTTAATATTTCAGCAAATAGAGACAATGAAAGATTAAAGCTCCATTTAAGCATTCTCCTGTGTTTGGGGATGTCAGACAAGGAAATGTTATAGCATGCATGTACTGTATCAAATTTTTACACCTGCAAAGCAATATTAGAGAGTCACAGACTCGTAGAATAGTAGTAGATTTCAGTAGGTTATATAGTGCCTCTGGACAGGAGTTCACACAGATCTCCAAATACATGGGTGTCTACATACTGATAACTTTTGAGATGTTTTTGGCTTAGAAGTCCAGTTTTTGGTATAATTTTATCATTATTTGCAAAATTTGAAAATATTTTAAATGGCTGCATATTGCAAAGAAGGAAAATGTATGTTTTCTAGCTATAAGAAAAGTTGAATTTCACTTATTTTCTATAGTAAGTCCATTCTATTAAAATCTATTTTTTCTACCTCTCAGAATCCATGACAGTACTTTGATTTTTTAATACATATGTGTGTGTATATATACATATATACATACAAACATATATATCTTACATTTATCTGTAGCCAATTAGCATTAGCCATGTAACTGGAAGGCACTCATGTATTCCCAATTTAAAAGCACCTTGTAAATTGAGAGAATCAGTCTCATTTTTTCCTATGTGCAAATCTCAAAATTGAAAACCAGATGAATGCTCCCCAAAAGACATATCTGGGACTAATTTTGTAACCAAATGCTTAACTACTGTGAAAACTTGTATTTGAAAAGATTTCCTAAATTGTCTGTTCCCTCTCACACTCTTTATCAGTGATGTGGTTGACTACACTGTTTATCTCAGTATTAGCCTACAGAAGCTTATGGGAGGCAGAAGAATAATGTTCCTGCATTGATCTCTATTTCTCTAATGTTCCCACCCTTGTTCCATGACAAACTACCAAACAACTTGCTTCCCATGAGATCAAGGGCTCTCCCATATTCCCGATACAAACTCAAATTTCCATTGGTCGCCTCTTGGGATTTGGAAACTAGTTATTGGGAGCAGTTTAAAAGGGTTTGTCTCCTCCTGTGCTTAATGTCATCACAAGAAATCATAGCATCCTACTATGAATCTGGCAAATGACTTTCTAAGGAGCTACTGAGTCAGAAAATGTTTACTTTTGGTTTAGGGTTATTAGTCTACCTGCTTTAATTTGCAGAACATATCAAACAAATTTAAATTTTATCAATTTTTCAAGTCAAAAGACTTTTTCCATATAGCCAGTGAAATACGTCAAACTCATATCCTATACTGTAACATTTGTTAAAGGGATCTACTCTGTGGACATTTTTTTTCTTAATTATAAACCACATACAGCATCCTTCCTAAGAGCAGTCTCTAACTAGACCCTGAAATGACCCTAGATCAGTCAAATAATATTTATCTATTTCAAATTCATCCTATACTTTTGACATATAGAAGTATAAAATGTGACCAATATAAATATTAGCATGTTGGAATTTTAAATAAATCAACCACAATGGCCAGGAAACAGGTAAGCAAAAAAAAAAAGAAATTAATAATAAAATCAGATATAATAAAATCTTTTCCACTTCTAACCTATTTTCTCATAGTGGTAGCATGGTCATCTTCAGATAGGACTCAGCTATAAGTGATTATCCTCATATAGTCCCTGTGGCATAAATAATTTCAGTAAAAGTGAATGGTAACAATAATCTAAGTGTCTTTATCATTGTGAAGGAAAAGAAAAAGTGAGAAAAGAAATGGGTAGCTGCATGATAGAGTGATAGAGATAAATATGATAGAGAGATAATAGAGATAAAGATAGATGATAGAGAGGTAGATGATAGAATAGAGAAACAGATAGATTGAAGCAGAAAGAGATTGTGCTTGAAATTGTCATGGCAGCACTAGATAATCACTGGACCCAAGATATGATCCTGCCTAATTTCCCACAGGGTCTAGCCTCTAGACTGTCAAATTAGGAAATAATTCTCATATCCTAATGCCTTTGAGTAGTTAGTCTGCAGTAGAGCAACATCTCCAGAAAATTTGCCTGATGGAAGACACTTTTCAGACAAAGCAAGAAGGGCCATTGATGTAGATAATAATCTGTTAAGTCCAGAACTATTTTTATGAAAAAAATCCAGATGTTTTCAGATCTGAAAGAACCTCTATTCAAACAATTGCAGTCTTTTTATTCTTTAGAACTCTGTCTGCTGAAGAAATACCCAGATGCACAGGTGTTCGTAGCAGAGTGGCGAGAGAAATGTTAAAATGGCCTGATAATTTTATAAGACAATGAAAGAGACTATAAGATTAATTGGAATTTGAAAATTTCTTGAAATGTTTTTCTTGGGATTTTTGCTTTTACATTGTTGATCTCTTGTTTCTTTTAACCAGAATTCTTCTTTTGTCAACATTCCCTTAAGGAATTTGTATTCCTGGGAATTGGCATATAAATAAAATAGTAGGTTCTTATTCTCCTGTGTGAAAGAGATTATAGGCCATATCAATACTGATTTGGAAAACATGCGTGCTGTATTTGTTTAGTTGTCTGCCTTCATTGGCTGATTTCTTTAGTAGCAGTTTTTTTTCTTTCCAGAGAAATGTTAACTTTGAGGTATGTCTACACCACACCAGCATACCAGTTTTAAAGGTAGAAAGTTCAGTTATTTAATGTAATGGATGTTGTACTGCTGGCTTGAGAGATTTTTTTGTTGCTCCTACTGAATTCACTGGTAATGTTGATATTGTGTAGACATGCATGGATTGCTGATGTGCAAAATTGAAATGCTGGGAATGATGGGAAAGATTAAGTAGGTCCCTCGTGGTCAATGTGGGGGATTAGTCATCTTTCTCTGTGGCATTTCTATAGGACTACAGAGTGAACATCTTTTTGAGGCAACAGTGGAATGACTCCCGGCTGGCTTACAGTGAATACCCTGATGACTCCTTGGACTTAGACCCATCTATGCTGGACTCCATTTGGAAACCAGACTTATTCTTTGCCAATGAGAAGGGTGCCAACTTCCATGATGTCACCACAGACAATAAACTGCTACGGATTTCAAAAAATGGCAAAGTGTTATATAGCATCAGGTAAGTTTCTGCTGACTTTACTTCAGCTATCTCTCACATCCTGAGCTGTCTGAATTTACAGGACAAAATTTGTATTATAAGTGTTTGATTGTCATGGTTTCTCATTGGGAATGTTGGACTTCATATTCGAACCACCTGCATTCAAATTCTACTTTTGGCATTTATTGTCCATGTGACCTTAGGCAAGCCACTTATACAGCTTTCATAGCTATATAAATATATTAGCTATAGCACTCACAGAGTATTTAACTACAGGTTTTGGTAGAGGTAGTTCTCCAGTATAGTAACTGACCGAATAAAAATATATAAATTAATGATATTAGCATGTTGTTATGTGCCAAGGATTATACTCCTCCTCCTCCTCTTAATAATAATATATAGACTTTTTATTACAAAGACAGCTAGGTAGCACAGTGAATAGAGAGTTATGTCTGGAATCAGGAAGACCTGCATTCAAAATCATCCTCAGATACTTACTCGGTTGTGTGACATTGAGAAAGTCACTTAACCTCTGCCTGACTCAGTTTCCTCAACTGAAAGGTGGAGATTAAAAGTAGCACCACCAGTAATGCCATAAGGTTCACATTTAAAAAGTGTTTTATAAATAATATCTCATTATATCTTCCCAACAACCCTAGGAGGTAGGTGCTAATATTATCTCTATTTTACAGATGATGAAACTGAGACAGACATAGGTAAAGTGACTTGCTAAGAGTCACACAGCTATTAAATGTCTGAAGATGATTTTGAATTTAGATTTTTCTGACTCTAGGTCCACTGCTCCATCCAGCTTCTAAGCCCCAGAGATACAAATACAAAGTAAATTGAGATGTATGAAAAGTCTGAGAGAAATAATTTCTGGTTAATTAATAATTTTATTAATTATGGCTAGTGAATAATTAATAAAATGATGGTCATCTGCCTTTCTCTCATAAAGACCTCTCATGGAGGCCTCTTGATACTTATATACCCTTGGAAGAGTGGATGTTCCTGACAGGTAGAAATCAATTCTGATTGGTTAGTAATTAATGAGAGAATAAATATTATAATGAGAGGTGGGCCTCTTTCAATGAGGGGCTTGGTGGACAAAGAAGAGACTTATCTCACGCCAGACTACTCCTTCCTGAGCAATCTATACAAAAGGGGTTCCCTCCCTCCCCCACAAGCCTATCTGAGTGGAACACAGTGGCCTGGAATTTACCTAGATTCTATCTTTTTATTCTTTAATCAAAACTAAGCTTCCCCAGTTGGGTGGCATCTCAAACAAGATTGAGGATGATCTTCAATCCAGTCTCGTCACTCCCCCTGTTCTTCAGATGCTGGCTAAATAAACCTACAAGGGGCTGATTTCTAAATGAAAAAAAAAAGGAAAAGGAAAATCTTAATCTCAATTAATAATTGATTATTAATATAAGTGAGAAATAATAATTTATCTCAAAATGTAATCCCTTCCCTCAAGGAGCTCACGTTCTAATATGAAGAGACAACACACAAATGGAAGTAATGGCCAGGAAGGAGAATTTTGTTATGGAAAATTTCATGGATGGTGAATGAGGCCATAGGAAAGTAAATATCTCATCCAGGAACAATGTCAGAGTTGATTTGATCATGGTTTCTGGAACTGAAGTGGAAGAGTGAAAGAGGAAATGGCACTTGTTCTGTGGCAAGGTGTTTGTCAAGACTGTGGAGGAGGTGCCTGGAGAGTATGTAGTAGACTTTTCTGAGATTTGGGGCCCAGCCAAACCTATCACCAATCATTGAATTGTGAGGTCTTAGGATCCAAGTTCCTGTGACAAAAGGTTTAACAACTCCAGGACATACCCTCTTATGTCTAGAGAAGGCTATATAGATGAGCAGAAAATAAATAGCGAGATGAGGAAATCACAAACCCTTAAAACACACGATAATTGCTTAATATAAAGGCTAATTCACTGAACTGGCAGTCAGGATATTTTTATTCTTGTCTTGTCTCTTCAACTAAGTATCTGTGTGACCTTGGGCAAAATTCAGTTTCCCTGTCTGTGAAATGCAGGGTTTGGTCTAGGTCAGGGGTGGAGAACCTCTTGACTGAATCCAAATTTACCGAACAAATCCACTTAAGGCTGCACTTAAGGATCTAGAAAGCCAAATGCGGCCTCAAGGCCACAGGTTCCCTACCCTTGGTCTAGGTGATGCCTAAGATACTGACCCGATCAATATTTCCATTACTCATAGTTTGAAAGTCCTTTTCCTTCTTTTTTCTTTCTTTACCAAGTTTAGTTGGCACAGTGGATAGAGCATTGGGTCTGGAGTCAGGAAGGCCTGAATTCAAATCCTGCGTCAGATTCTTACTAGCTGTATGACCCTGGACACGTCATTTAACCTCTTTTTGCCTCAGTTTCCTCATCTATAAAATGCGGATAATAATAACACCTATCTCACAAGGTTATTGTGAGGACTAAATGAAATGATAATAATAAAGCACTTAGTACAATGCCTGGCACTATGTAAATGTTAGCTATAATTGTTATCCTATTATTATTATTACAAAGGAGTTTGTTCAGTTATACTAGTCACAGAGCATTTTTAATGGAAAATAGTCCTTTTGTAAGTGATACATCCTGATGACAGAGTCAGTTGCACTTTTGAAATGAAGCACATCCACTTTAGCTCTTGCCTTTGGTTCCCTTCCTTCACATTACTTAGTTACTTAGTTAAAGGACAAGACATTGTCCTAGAATCCAGAGTACAACTTTGAAGCACCGATAGGGGCAGTCAGTTAATTCATTGTTTAACAAGTAGCCACCGTTTGCTTGCTTTTAGAGTAAGAGAGAGTTGTTCTTGGTCAAGTCTGCCTCATGCTGGGTTGGCTTAGGCTGACTTCATTTAATATGCAGTGTTGGACACGACATAACTTGCTGTGACCTGATCAAATGGGACATATGCAGAACCTCACAATGGAAAGGGGAGTTATAAAAAGCAACACATGAGTATGAGATGCTCCAGATAAGCCTCCAGTGCCCATGTGACATTCAGGCTGGTGAAGACCTGGCATGACCCATTACTAAAATGCATCAGAATTTTCTGTCTGCTACAGGAAGGCATTTCCATCCTGGCAGAGCTCAGCGAGGCAAGGTTCCAACAACATTGATACTGAGCTAATCGCTTCAGGAGTCCTTTCGTTACTCCTCATGCAGACTTTGAAATGGCATAGCTATTGTTTCTGATGAGAGGGGCTTTGTTCTGTGGCAGGCAGAACAACTCTCTCCCTTTGTGGTGGCCATTCTGTGAAATGAAGGGGAAAAAATGCCAGTGGTTTTGGACAACGCACCTTAGACCAAACCATTCTCCCTCACCTGTGCACAAGGACTGATTTTATGGAAATTTAAAGAAAATGGAATAGCATGGTAGAATCTAGCTGTGGGGAGTCTAATTGCTTGCTTGGCGCTGTTTTAAATGGTCTCATTCATTGAGAGTGATGGAATTATGGGGGTGGAAAATAGGGAAAGGAGAAATAGATCCAAGTCTGTATATGAAGATGTCACATTCTCATCTAAGTGACACAAAACTGTCTCATTAGAGATTGAAGTGCAGTAGGTGTTATCTAAGGGAAGCTATAAGACTGACCTTAAACTCAGAGTGGGAGGTATGGTTTCATGGATACAGGGAAGAGCTTTTTGTCCCTCAAGTACTTCCTTTACTTGCTTAGGGATGATTGAATTTAAGGATGATTAAACCTTTTTATTACTCAACTAGAGATAAGGAAATTTAAAATGTATTTACCTCAGCTAAGGTAGAAGTGACTGATTACAGAGTTTTTCCTGAGTGAGTTTTAATGGAATTTTGATAGGGGTTCTGAGAGGGAAAAAGCCAACTTGGCACTTAAAAAGTTTGATGAATTATTGAGTAGGGGTGGAGATGGAGTGGATGACATCAGTCTAATTTAGAAATTCAAACTAAGTTGCCATAACTGAGTAACTTCACAACATGGATCCATATCTCAAGTGTATTATATGAAGAAATTGTTTTATATTTGTCAGTCTCCTAAGTCCAACTGGGTAAGTATCTCCCCTCAGCCCTTCAAACTCAGTGTCCAAAACTGAATTCAGCATGCACCCTAAAGTTGGCCTCCCTCTCAACTTCCCTGTTTCTATGAACACCAAAATCCTCCTGATCAATTAGACTTCAAAACTCGGAGTCATCTTTCACTCTTCTCGCTCTAATCTATCTTATCCATTTGATAAGTCACCAATTCTCATCAATTCAGCCTCCCCAATCTCTCTCACATCTGTTCCTTTGTCTCCCCTCACACACCTCTGGCCTGAACTATTGTAATAATGGCCTTCCCACTTTTGGTTTCTTCCCTTGCCTATCCTTATCCTTCACAGAGATGTTAAAACAATCTTTCTTAGACATAGTTCTGACCCCTTCACTCCCCATTCAGGAGTCTTTGGTGTTTCATTATTGTCTTTAGACTCCTCTTCCTGAGTTCAAATCCAGCCTCAAACACTTACTAGCTGTGTGACCCCAAGCAAGTCACTCAGTTCTATTTTCCTCAGTTTCCTCATCTCTAAAATGAGCTGGAAAAGGAAATAGCACTACCAAGAAAACTGCAAAAAGGGTCACAAAGAGTCAGACATGAGAGAAAAGCAAGCAAACATCAGTTGTGTTTAAAATAAAACACTCTTCATTCTGACATTTAAGGCCATCCACCCTCTGAATCCATCCTACCTTTCCAGCCTGATTTCATATTTCTGGTACCTTCATGTGTTATAATTACCAGTTAAATTGGATTTCTGGCTGTTCCCTAAGCTTACCCTCAACTCCCCTATCTCCATATATTTTATACCTAAAATTCATATTTTCCTCATTCCTGCCTATTAACATCCTTCTCTTTCTTATCCAACTCAGTGTCAGCTAATTGGTGAAGCTTTTCCTGCTCTCTGCTCCCTGCCCCAGCTTCCTCTAGCTGAAAGCAGTCTCCTCATCCTCAAACTTACTTAGACACAGGAGTTCTTAAT